CTGCTATCTGTGTATACATACATAAAAACAAATGAGTAGTTGCATACGTTTTCTTTTTCTCATGAATCGATAAACTCCACCGAGAAGGGGGGATTTGGGGGTTCTCCCCGGGAAAATGTTGATTCCTAGATGGCGGGAAATGAGCTTTCCCGAATTCTGAGGTGTCTTTTAATGACTTTTAAGTTCTTCAAAATTCAAGGTTTTCCCCTATTGAAAACGATTCCATGAATCGATGAACCCCAAATGGAAAGTGGGGTTCGGATTCTCCCCGGGAAAATGTTGATTTCTAGATGGCTGGAAATGAGCTTTCCCGACTTATGAAATGTTTTTTAGATTTCTAAGTTCTTCAAAATTCAAGGTTTCCCGACTTATAATTTTGTATTCAAGGTCTTTATTATTTATTAAGATAAAAATATAAATTAAAAATTGCAAACCGACAGCTAATACAAGAGTGTATATAAGCGTATTACTGCTTAAACATTTAAAAACAAAACACCAAAATTCGAGAAATTCACAACACAAACGTAAAAAAAAAACAATGGATAAAAAGCACAGCACCAGACAAATAAAAAAAAATTAAAATGATAAAAACGGAAGAAATAAAAAAGGCATATAAAAAAAACCCCCATTAATAAAAAATTGAATTGAATTTTCTTATTGTAAAAAAAAAAAAAAACAAAAAACAAAAACAAAAAACAGTTCACTTCTTCCCTCTTTCTTTTCTTGAATTTTTTCCGATCGTACAAAAATCTCCAAAGACATTATATATTTTGTGCCAAAAAGTGGGGAAGCCCAGCCCACCCCCCCCCCGAGGGGCTGGGAAAATTATTGCCGAATATGACACTCTTATATGTAAAATTCATTGTTATCTATCTATTAATCGGTGTGATGTACCATAAAAAATAAAACTTAATTGTATTTGATGTATTTTCTTTACCCAGGCCTACTTCATGTGCCGAAAACCAATTTTATCTGCACGCTTTTTGTATACTTATCAAATTATAATAAAGGCACGCGCACTCGAATCGTGTATGATAGGTAATTCAGATGTTTGTGGGCAGAGTATAACGGTATCGTGCTATAAAAGCACACTCATTCAGAGGTTGAAAAATATAAAAGGAGTTACGGATTGGTAGCAATGCTACAGTTCGGCTGTTCAGACAACAAACACTCTTGATGTCTTATTATAAATCTACTCTAGGTAATACTTTTATACCTATGGACTAACACAAATTATAAGTCAATCGTGACGTCATCACTGTAACTCCCAATGTTATTTGCCTATTCCACAGCGTCCACCAATTTTTCTTATTAGTGGATGCTTGGCTTGATTTTTTTTAGGTTCGTGTGCAAAAAAAGTCCTCATTTTTTTCGTCACCGCGAATACATCGCGCACCGCGATAAAAATTGAATTGTAAATTGAAAATTACTTTCGTAAAACAAGCTTAATTAGAAACCGAATAAAGTTACTTCAAATTAAATATTAAGTATGAACAAATAAGGAATTCATTGAATCAATGGACCCTCATAAACACAACAAACTGAACGTTTAATAGGAATATTCTAGACCTATTTTAAAGACTCAAGGAACAAATTTAGATGTAGGCCTACGGCCAAGCAGGAGGCCTGCCGGGCCTCCTCTTACTACTACTAGGCCATAGCCTAGCCTATTTATGAAATCATCGCACGATTTTACCTGTCATGCATGCACCGACCTAGCTAAAAGCAAAGAACTTAAATAGCAGAAGAATGAGCTGTTAAAATCGATGGAACATCCGCCCTCCCGCGAATGGGGTAAAATTTGACCATTTTACTGAGTGGAGAAACTACAGGAAAGAAACGAACCAGCGCGGTGCCTTTATTGCTGTTTATTATTTCTATATAGCGCCGCCGCGCGGATGGAGTAAAATTGCTCTCCGTGTACCCACAATGCCCTTGGAACGGATGTTCCACTATATTGGGAAGCTGCTCTATCTTCTGCTATTTATTATCTTTGCTAAAAGCCTAGGACGTCAGTGACTGTATTCTCTCTCGAATGCTCAAATGTTTATTTCTTTGACGAAAGTGTATCAAAATAGCACTACAAACAAGTTCTTCCTAACACAATACAAATTATAATAGTTATTCATCGTATCCGTACTGTACTGCTGATGTGCAGTTAATTAAACGCGTACTGCAGGAGCAAAAATCAGCATACGCACAGCTAAATGTAAATACGCACGTACACGTATACTGATCATATCCCTATAGCAACCGATGACTGCTACAACAGTTGGTTATAAAAAATTATTATACTTAGGTTAGATTTAATGCATTCAAAAATTTCCCTCGGGCCTTGCAGGCTCTCAGGAATTGTTTTCAAGCATTAAATCTAACCTATAATAATTTTCCTATAGTGTACTATGCAGAGCTCTTCTAATTGCTTATTAAGAACACGGACAAGACGCGTCTTTGTCCAGGCATTACAATCGATTTTTTCGAACACCACGCACAAAAGCTCCCCGTATATATGGTGACAATTATCTAGTTAGCTTCACCAATAGGCCTACCAGATATATAGGCCCTATTTATTAAATATTTCTGATAATATACAACTCGACTTATAGTTTTTCTTTATGGTTGTTTTAGGGCCCTGTTTTTTCAACCCCTAGTGGCCACCGCGGGCCAACTCTGTTAATAGAAACACGACCTAGCTGGTATTGTTGACAAGAGTCGGTTTTTTTTTTATTTTTTTTATTTTTTTAGTGTAGCTCACTGTATCTAATGGCGTAGAGTATTGACACGGGGAGGGGTGACTGATGGGGATAAATGATTTAAGGGGTGGGGCACTGATATGGGGACCGGAAAATACGAGCGCTTCGAGCGAATGCTAGTTCGAGCGGATGCCATTTTGAACGGATGCCATTCCAAGCGAAAAGGATCCAGTTTTACGAACATTTCACTTGGGCGAATTTCTTATTTTGACCAAACATTTAAGTTGATAGTTGTTTGCCCTCTTCGGATTCAAATTTGCTATAACCTAGGTTCTATCTGGTCTTGCACATATTATTTAGCAGTGGCGTGTTGCACGCGTCGCCACTCCCTCTCCGATGAAAAGGTCGCCCCCCCTCTTTCCCCATTCACCGCCCCATTGAAAATGTTCGAAGCAAAAACTAATCATGCTCAAGATGTTAATACAAATCACCTTATTATGTGAGCTTGCATCCCCTCAGTTAATTATCAAGCACCCAACTTCACCTTCACGCATCCCTATCAGCCCTGCCCCCTCCCCAGTGAAGACTCCTGGACCTAGGCCTAGATCCTGACGGGGACATTTCAAAGGTCCCAGACAGAGGGATATTGTCCCCGCCGAGAAAAATGTGGGCGTGGTCGGGTGTCCCTCAAAATCCAATGTGATCCAGGGGGCGAAGCCCCCCTAGAAACTCAAATACGTAAGATGTTGACTTTAGAAACATTAAAGTCAACATCTTACGTATTTGAGTTTCTTTACTGTTACGTTATATTATATTCTACATATGTTTCGAAACACACGTGGACACGCCTTCTTAGATGTGTATAAGAGACAGTCTTACTACTACTAGGCCATAGCGATGATGGCGGTGGTAGAATGGTGACTGGGAGATGGTGGTCCTGATATTGTGGATGATGATGACGATGATGATTGTGATGATGATGGCGGTGGTAGAATGGTGACTGGGAGATGGTGGTCCTGATATTGTGGATGATGATGACGATGATGATTGTGATGATGATGGCGGTGGTAGAATGGTGACTGGGAGATGGTGGTCCTGATATTGTGGATGATGATGACGATGATGATTGTGATGATGATGGCGGTGGTAGAATGGTGACTGGGAGATGGTGGTCCTGATATTGTGGATGATGATGACGATGATGATTGTGATGATGATGGCGGTGGTAGGATAACTGTATGATGCTGGTCCTAATGATGACGATGATGTGTTGATGATGATGATGGTGGTGATGATGATTGTCATGGTGAGAATGATGACTGTGATAATGGTGATGATAATGGTGATGATAACGATGGTGGTGATGTGGTGGTGATGATAAAGGTAGTGATGATGATTGTGAAGATGATTGTGGTGATGAGGAAAATAATAGTGGTGGTAAGGATTACTGTGATTATGGTAATGATAATGATAATGAAGATGGTGAAGATAACGATGGTGTTGACAACAACGGCGTAGCTCTACAGTTGGGGCGGATGCAGAGGGGGTGGAGACGGTGCGATTGCCCCCCCCCCCAAATTGTATTAAGAAGAATAATTGCAAATGCCTAGATGTAAATAACTTAGCTAATTTATTTTTCATTTATACTTTTAATTATATAGCGCCTTTCTTTGCAGATACAAAGCGCTTCTGTCCCTGGTCATTGGATCCACATGCTAAGTGTTGCTGCTGTATTCAGCGCAGGAGCAAGCAACCCCACCCATTTATACTCCTGGGTGCAGATAAAGTGCCTTGCTCAAGGTTGATATATTATTTTTAACACTAAAAAGATAGCACCGGTAAGATATGTAAGTATGACAGTGCAATTTCGGGGCATCTTTAGGTCCATATTCTCACAATTGTCTCTCCTCAGCCCTGGTGTGGATTATCACGCACCACCTAAGGCCAAATCCTGCATCGCCCTAGTATAGTATCTTGAATGACCGGACATGTGTATGATTGGATTGACGTTAAATGAAGAAAGCTGGCTAAACGTATGAAGAAGTATGTGTATTAATGTATTCCTATGCTAAAGCTGCAAGAAACTAAACTAGAACCACAGAATTATTATTAATTACACATTTTAAAAAATCAAACATTTTCTTTGTATTAGGCTTACAGAAAGGAGCCATCATTTCAGCCTATTATTGATTGCGTGGCGAAAAATTATCATGGCACACACAAGTAAGAAATTACGTCGTGGGATGTATGTTAAGTAAACATTATTTGTTCAAAGGAATATGGCTTACTAAAACCAGAGAGTTGTTATAGTGACAAGTACCAAAAAGGGCGTGTCACTACCAAATGGTGAGGCGCGCCTACATACATGTATCGCTTTGTGGCAATTCGAAGGCCAGAATAACACCTAGTCATCAGTTTTATAAATTGAACAAATATCGAAAATTTTCTTTGCAGCTTTTGAAATTTGAATTCTCATGCCTTATCGGGTGTAGCTTGTTGGCCTAGCACCTGCAAGAGGACCCCTTCAGGTCGTGGGTCAAATGCTACTGGCAAGTGCTGGTGACGTTGAGTGCATATTGATATAGACAAAAATATTGGTGCGTACTGAACTTCAACCAGCAAATACACTACTTAACGGTTGAGTTGAGTACAAACCCATTGTATAGCTGCTTTTAATAACAATGTTGAAGGACAATGCTTCGGATCATGATTCACTCGAACGAGTTTATACGTCATCACCAGGCAATGAATTAGTGTTGAACCAAGTACAGTACAACTGAAACCGGTTGAATATACATGCTATAGAATTTGAATATATTCGGGTTACCATGGCGTTTTGGAAGCGAAGAAGCATGACTTTCTCTCCGAACCCACCAGATACCAAACATGAGGTTCAATACATAGGAAAAGAACCAGCTGAAGGCAAGATTGGACTAGAATGTACCATGCAACCAGTTGAAAATATGTACCGACGTTACAAACAAACGAAAGGCAAACACTCGCAACGTATGCTACTGGAGGTAACAAGTACAGGTATTACACTCACACACTTAAATGGCGCAGATGGACAAGAAGAAGAAAAGATAGTACCTGTTGTTAAGATGTCATTCGGTGCTGCAGATCCCCAGCATCCTAAAATATTCTCATTTGTGATGGTGAACGATACAGCAAAAGGACCAAATAAATGGGAATGTCATGCGTTTTTGTGTGAAAATCCTTCAGTTGCCAAGTCATTGACTTTATATTTAGTGAAAGCTTTCCAAAAGGCAGCAGATGGGAGAGCTGATAAAGATGAACATTTCAGAGATCCAAATAAAAGGACTCGACCAACAACTTTACATATTTTACATGATCGTGGAAAACTTGAACATCAAATCGCTGAGAAATCAAAGCCTCCTCCTGTATCTACACTAAAGGTAACAATGAATATAGAAAACATCGAAGACTACGATAAGGTAGGCCTACGAAAACAAGAAAAGACCAAAGGCGTTAAACTTGATCAGAATAAACACTTTGCTATGTTGTTAGCAAAAGAGAAAAAAGAATTAGATGCGTTGAAAATGGTTAATCAGGCGAAAATGGCGGATTTAGATGGTATCAACACAATGAGCAATCAAAATAGCGCTGTAAACAAAGAAAATGAATACTCCGAGGAGGATGAAGTGGATGCTTTATTAAAAGAGGTTGCAAGCGAAGGAGAAAACGAAAAAATTATTATGGCAGTAAACACAACACTTCCTTTAACTCCATTATCTGAGACGTCGCCTGGTATGGAAATGTCAAACTCCGATTGTATCAATGATACTAATACTAATAGTGAAGGCGATGGACAAGCTATAACTGACATCAAGTCTTTAGAATCAACGGAAGATAACTCGCGTAAATCAAAACGGAAATCAGTAAGATTCACTGACGAAGAGCCTAAAATAATTGAAGGATGATAAAAGACTACATTGCAGTTATTACTGTATCTTTACAAAAAAAAAGATGGCGGTGTTATTTATTCTGAAACGCAAGCTATCAACAGCAACGCATACCGGATTCACTACCGCCTAATAATCGATACATGTACGCCTATAGCGTATTTTATCAGACGAAAGCTATTATAATTCCTAATGTAGATTATAATTTATCTATGCTACTTTACAGCCAAAATGATCTTAAGATATTTCTATGAGAGATACATTAAGTATCTAATTTGTACAATATACAGCGATATTATCCAATAATTGGAGAATGAACAATGCTTGTTTTTTGTCTGGTGTGTTTGCAATAGTTCTTTAAAATTACTGTACACATATAATTATGTTAAAAAGAACATCTTTTAAACTGCCGTTAGCGATTGATATCTTTATTTTATTTTGATCTCAGCCTACCAATAATTCACGTCTTTCTCCACCTTTTGATTGTCAATGTTTTGAAACAATCAACCATAATGCTTATTTAATCTATTTTAATATTCTCTCATCAAGTTTATATATCGAAGAGAAACTGGGCTGCTTGTGCAAGTGATAATTGGCATTTATAAATAATGACACAATCACAAAAATGACATACATCCATAGAATTCATGCATTTAATCAATTTAATGCATGGTCTAGTAGTAGTCCCAATATTGTCATAGATTGTATAAACCCTTTCACATATTCACATGCTCAAGTCAGCGACAAAATGGGGTCTAGTTGGAGTTAGTTGCAAGTATCATGGAGGAATAAGTTTCCTTATCCATTCATGCAAGTATCAAGCCAGCTAACACGCTGATTGCGTTAAAATGTTCCCACATTAGTACACATCGCCTTTGATCAAAGCAGGTTACATGTGTCCAACGAATCGCTAGGTTTTTGGAAATGATAATCTTGTATTATGTGTGCGTATAAATTAGTAATATAAATATTATGCAATGAATAGTAATTTCTAAACACATTAGACAAGAACAAATATGTATTGTCGGAGTTTAACTGTTTATATCAATAATAATCTTTATTTTTTTTCTATAAGCTATTTTCTTATTATTTCTTTGTCGAATTGAGAGGAATAAATTACTCAAATGCTTTGATATGCTGATTAAAATTATATTAAGAAATCACATGTACTACTCAATTATTCATTTTAGTGTTTAATGAAGTTATAGATCAAATTAAACGTGCGTCAATTTTGTTGCATCTAAGATGAATATTGAATGTATTGATGGTTGATGCATCTGAGCTGAGTATTGAATTGAAACTTTTTTTAGATGTTTGACGCATCTGAGCTGAATAGTGAATGCCTTTGAAAATGATGATTTTTTTTGCAACTGATTAGAATATTTGACGCCTTAATTTTTAAATTTGTTTTGACGCAACTAAATTATTTATTATTAATTTTGCTATTCTAATTTTTGCCTATGTTTTTATAGGCCTACTGTGTAACTTGTGGTAATATTTGTTTGTGCACTAAATCGTGAATATTGTTGTAAAAGTGTTGATGTTTGTTGCATATGTTGATTGTTGTTTAAATGGTTTTGTAATTTGAATAGCGTACCGTTTTAACTTGTGTTGACATTTTGTTGTGATTGCAGTACAGTATATTGTAACTATTGTATCAAAGATTGGCGTAGTCTGAAATTAAGATACACATAGGCTATTCTAAATGTGGGCCTATTTTGATGCTTCTTTATCTGGGGTCCATTCAACTATAGACATTAAAGTTGTCTTCATTTAAATTGAACTCGGAACCAGTACGGACAGGATAGCAGAAACAAAGACAAAATCGTGTTAGTTTCTAATGTAATTCAATACGCCTCATTACACTCTTTCTCTACCATTACTATGGGAACAACTGCTGGTGTCATTGTCGATGTACGAATTATTTTGTGCAGAGAATCTCACCAGTTATAGTGCAGTTATCGTTTGCAGGAATAATAACCGCCACTGCTGGTGTGACCGTCGATGCGAGTTATTTTAGCAGCGAATCTCATCAGTTGTAGTGGAATTATCAAACACCTATGTATTCTATCGGTATAGCTGTGTTTTCTCGATTATATGTTGTAGCAATAACTTATAGCCATTGTACTTGGTAAAGTGTGGTAAATCAATGGGAGATTTTATACACAGCTCTTTACTTTTGTTATATTCAATCCTCCTAGACTACTCATTGATATAAGGTGGTATTATTAACGCGATTACCTCAGTTGCAGGTATTTTTGAATGCCTAGAGAGATGAAGGTTAATGCTGTGAATGTCTCGAAAGTCAACCGAACATGTCCATAAATAGTGATATAATTTTTTCCATAGGCCTACCTTCTATACACTCCATTAAGGTTCTTTAATATCCATGCAGGATCTATCTTTTAACAACATTATATTCTTACCTCGGAATTTACAGATGGTACTCCATCCTGTCAGCGATTGAAATGAGTCTGTTACAGGTCGTCTGTTTTAGCTTTGATTAAACTCGTAGAAGTTTGTATCGGCCACTCTGGTAAAGCGCCTTGCTGAGGAACAAAAGCGAAGTGCAGAGCGACTGATTAAAAAAAAACCAAACCCGAACCTCAGTATTTCAGTTAGTACTTCAGTATTTATTGGACCTTACTTTAGGAACAGTGGCAAACACCTGTACGGTGGTGCGCCCATACATACTACAACTAAATAATAACTACACAAAGAACAACGATTAAAATGAAACAAAGCTAACAACAATTGATAAAATAATATTACAGTATTTAACATCAGTATAGACATAATTATTATATAAGGGTCAAAATAGACTGAAAAATAAGTAATGCATGATATGTTTACAAACAATAATCATATATTATTTGATTATTAAAAAGATATGATAAATAATAAATAAACTAGGGATATAGATTGGATTACAAAAGTAGAAAATACAACTTATATTACAAATATATACATACACCTGTCTCTTATACACATCTAGATGTGTATAAGAGACAGTACATACACACATACCCATATATATGTACATATATATATATATTATTATTATTATTATTGTTATTATTACTACTACTACTATTATAGTCATTATTATTTTATTACTATTTTTGCAAATTATTATTTATTAAATTGTTATTTAATAAATTGTTATTGTGATATGTGCATCGAGATCAAGTGACTCATCAAAAATAATACCACTGATATATTTCTGCAGGACTTTGAGCCAGTGATCTCACAGTCACCAATTCTAATGGGAGGAAGAATAACTTTAGAACCTATGAGGAGGTCTATTGTCTTTCCCTATATATATAATAGAGACATTGATAAAATCAAATGAAACGGTTGACGTATTGGAGGAACATAAGTATT